ACAATCGGAACAATCGGGATAATCAGGAATGGGAGCTCCCGGCTGGGAATCCTGGATCCCATTCCCGCCCCCACTCACCCACGGAAGCCGTTCCCAGTTTCCCCCAGGTCCCGTCCCAATCCCAATCCCGGCAGCTCAACTGGGGCTGCGTTCCCGGCGTCCTCCCGGGATCCTGGCCCCGACACTCCCAGTGACACTCCCAGGGACATTCCCAGTGACACTCCCAGGGACATTCCCAGTGACACTCCCAGGGACATTCCCAGTGACACTCCCAGGGACATTCCCAGTGACACTCCCAGGGACATTCCCAGTGACACTCCCAGGGACATTCCCAGTGACACTCCCAGGGACATTCCCAGTGACACTCCCAGGGACATTCCCAGTGACACTCCCAGGGACATTCCCAGTGACACTCCCAGGGACATTCCCAGTGACACTCCCAGGGACATTCCCAGTGACACTCCCAGGGACATTCCCAGTGACACTCCCAGGGACATTCCCAGTGACACTCCCAGGGACATTCCCAGTGACACTCCCAGGGACATTCCCAGTGACACTCCCAGGGACATTCCCAGTGACACTCCCAGGGACATTCCCAGTGACACTCCCAGGGACATTCCCAGTGACACTCCCAGGGACATTCCCAGTGACACTCCCAGGGACATTCCCAGTGACACTCCCAGGGACATTCCCAGTGACACTCCCAGGGACATTCCCAGTGACACTCCCAGGGACATTCCCAGTGACACTCCCAGGGACATTCCCAGTGACACTCCCAGGGACATTCCCAGTGACACTCCCAGGGACATTCCCAGTGACACTCCCAGGGACATTCCCAGTGACACTCCCAGGGACATTCCCAGTGACACTCCCAGGGACATTCCCAGTGACACTCCCAGGGACATTCCCAGTGACACTCCCAGGGACATTCCCAGTGACACTCCCAGGGACATTCCCAGTGACACTCCCAGGGACATTCCCAGTGACACTCCCAGGGACATTCCCAGTGACACTCCCAGGGACATTCCCAGTGACACTCCCAGGGACATTCCCAGTGACACTCCCAGGGACATTCCCAGTGACACTCCCAGGGACATTCCCAGTGACACTCCCAGGGACATTCCCAGTGACACTCCCAGGGACATTCCCAGTGACACTCCCAGGGACATTCCCAGTGACACTCCCAGGGACATTCCCAGTGACACTCCCAGGGACATTCCCAGTGACACTCCCAGGGACATTCCCAGTGACACTCCCAGGGACATTCCCAGTGACACTCCCAGGGACATTCCCAGTGACACTCCCAGGGACATTCCCAGTGACACTCCCAGGGACATTCCCAGTGACACTCCCAGGGACATTCCCAGTGACACTCCCAGGGACATTCCCAGTGACACTCCCAGGGACATTCCCAGTGACACTCCCAGGGACATTCCCAGTGACACTCCCAGGGACATTCCCAGTGACACTCCCAGGGACATTCCCAGTGACACTCCCAGGGACATTCCCAGTGACACTCCCAGGGACATTCCCAGTGACACTCCCAGGGACATTCCCAGTGACACTCCCAGGGACATTCCCAGTGACACTCCCAGGGACATTCCCAGTGACACTCCCAGGGACATTCCCAGTGACACTCCCAGGGACATTCCCAGTGACACTCCCAGGGACATTCCCAGTGACACTCCCAGGGACATTCCCAGTGACACTCCCAGGGACATTCCCAGTGACACTCCCAGGGACATTCCCAGTGACACTCCCAGGGACATTCCCAGTGACACTCCCAGGGACATTCCCAGTGACACTCCCAGGGACATTCCCAGTGACACTCCCAGGGACATTCCCAGTGACACTCCCAGGGACATTCCCAGTGACACTCCCAGGGACATTCCCAGTGACACTCCCAGGGACATTCCCAGTGACACTCCCAGGGACATTCCCAGTGACACTCCCAGGGACATTCCCAGTGACACTCCCAGGGACATTCCCAGTGACACTCCCAGGGACATTCCCAGTGACACTCCCAGGGACATTCCCAGTGACACTCCCAGGGACATTCCCAGTGACACTCCCAGGGACATTCCCAGTGACACTCCCAGGGACATTCCCAGTGACACTCCCAGGGACATTCCCAGTGACACTCCCAGGGACATTCCCAGTGACACTCCCAGGGACATTCCCAGTGACACTCCCAGGGACATTCCCAGTGACACTCCCAGGGACATTCCCAGTGACACTCCCAGGGACATTCCCAGTGACACTCCCAGGGACATTCCCAGTGACACTCCCAGGGACATTCCCAGTGACACTCCCAGGGACATTCCCAGTGACACTCCCAGGGACATTCCCAGTGACACTCCCAGGGACATTCCCAGTGACACTCCCAGGGACATTCCCAGTGACACTCCCAGGGACATTCCCAGTGACACTCCCAGGGACATTCCCAGTGACACTCCCAGGGACATTCCCAGTGACATTCCCGGGATTCCGGAGCTCACCTCGGGCTGCGTTCCCGGTGTTTTCCCGGGATCCTGGCACTGCTCCCGGCTCAGGTTCAGCCGCGTTCCCGTCAGGTTGGCCAGAGCCGCCTGCAGCAGCTGGGTCGTGTTGGCCGGGCTGGCCACGGCCACGTAGTGCTGGGGAAACGGGCCTGGAAAACCGGGAATGGGAAATCATGGAAAACCGGGAATGGGAAATCATGGAAAACCGGGAATGGGAATGGAAAAACGGGAATGGGAAATCATGGAAAACTGGGAATGGGAAATCATGGAAAACCGGGAATGGGAAATCATGGAAAACCGGGAATGGGAATGGAAAACGGGAATGGGAAATCATGGAAAACCAGGAATGGGAATGGAAAAACGGGAATGGGAAATCATGGAAAACCGGGAATGGGCACGGGAAACGGGAATGGGAAATCATGGAAAACCGGGAATGGGCACGGACAAACGGGAATGGGAAATCATGGAAAACCGGGAATGGGCACGGACAAACGGGAATGGGAAACCGGGAATGGGAAACCAGGAATGGGCACGGGAAACTGGGAATGTGAGCCATGGCCATGTAGTGCTGGGGAAACGGGCCTGGAAAAACGGGAATGGGAATGGAAAACCATGGGAAACCGGGAATGGGAAACCGGGAATGGGAAACTGGGAATGGACACGAAAAATTAGGAATGAAGGGAATTCCCAATGGGAATGGGAAACCGGGAATGGGCATGGAAAATCGGGAATGGGAATGGGAAACAACCGGGAATGGGAAACCGGGAATGGGAATTGGAAAGCATTCCCACGGCCACATAGTGGTGAGGGAACGGGCCTGGAAAACCATGGGAAAACCAGGAATTGTGTCTGGAAAACCGGGAATGGGCACGGGAAAACGGGAATGGGAACCACGGCCACGTAGTGCTGCGGGAACGGGCCTGGAAAACCATGGAAAACCAGGAATTGTGTCTGGAAAACCGGGAATTGTGTCTGGAAAACCAGGAATTGTGTCTGGAAAACCGGGAATTGTGTCTGGAAAACCGGGAATCGCGTCTCACCCAGGATCCCGGCCTGGTCGGGTTTGATCAGGGACTGGAACCAGGAATTGTTGGAGTCGATCAGGAATCCGTAGAGCAGCCGGGCGACCTGGGAACATCCCGGAATTCCCACATGGAACGGGGGAAAAACCGGGAATTCCGGGGGTGGGGAAGGAGCCGGAATTGCGGGAGGGGGGAGCGGGGATCCCGGGGAAAGCGGGAATTCAGATCCCGGGAAAATCGGGAATTCCTGCTCCAGGGACTCTGGGAAAATTGGGCATTCCAGGGAAACCGGTGATCCCAGGACACTTGTGGATCCCCAGCATTCCCGGGATCCCCAGCATTCCCAGAATTCCCGCCATTCCCACCGTTTTGGGATCAGCCTGGATGCTCGCGGCTCCCTCGGTGCCTCCGGCCCACCAGAAGAGCGTCCGGGCCAGCAGCGTCCCCACCTGGGCCAGCGCCTGCCGGGAATGCGGGAATTCGTTCCCGGAATTCCGGGAATTCTGGGAATTCCCGGGAAAGCGCCTGGCCCAGAGCCCCGCCCTCTCCTCCAATTCCCGCCCCATTCCCGCCCTTCCCTCCCTCCCTCCCCTCCAATTCCTGCCCAAATCCTGGGAATGCCCTGGATCCCAAATCCCAAACCCCAGGAATTCCCTGGAATCCCCTGGAGCCCCAATCCCAGATCCCAAATCCTGGGAATCTGCTGGATCCCAAACCCCAGGAATTCCCTGGATCCAGAATGCCAGGAACCTCCCAGATTCCGAATCCCGGGAATCTGCTGGATCCCAAATCCCAGCTCCTGAGTCCCGGGAATCCCCTGGTTCCTGAATCCCAGGAATACCGGGAATTCCCTGGATCCCAAATCCCAGGAACCTCCCAGATCCCAACTCCCAGAAATTCCCTTGACCCCGAATCCCAAGAATCCCGGGAATCCCCTGGATTCCAAATCCTGGGAATCTGCTGGATCCCAAACCCCAGGAATTCCCTGGATCCAAAATCCCAGCTCCTGAATCCCGGGAATCCCCCGGGTCCCGAATCCCAGGAACCTCCCAGATCCCAAATCCTGGGAACCCCCTGGATCCCGAATCCCAGCTCCTGAATCCCGGGAATTCCCTTCATCCCAAATCCCAGGAATCCCAGGAATCCCCCGGGTCCCAAATCCCGGGAATGCTGCGGACCCGGGCGGTGTCGGAGACGAATTCCAGCCGCTCCTCGGGGCTGGATCCCTCGGGATAACGGAGCCCGATGCTCTCGGCCGTGTCGTAAATGCTCTCGAAATACCTGCGGAGGAAAACCGGGAAAGATCCGGGAAAGATCCGGGAAAAAATCCCGGGACAAAATCCTGAAAAATCCGGGACAAAA